AGCATGTCGTCGTCCTCCACGGCGACCAATGGGAGCGGGCAGGAGGAGACATGGACCACTGAGCGCCCGAGTACAGATCGAGTGCCCCTCGAAGTGCAGCTGCAGAAAATCATCCTGTCGGGGGGAGTCTCCTGTCCGGGACGGAGCGGGCAAACCCAGGCGGCAGCCCGAGGCAGGCATGGACGGCGGCGGGAAGGAGACGGCCGGGTCGGCCGCGCCTGAAGACTCCGCCAGGCCGCAGGACGCACCACAGGAGCACGACGCGGCGGCGGGGAAGGGCGAACAGCCTACCGAGGCTACCGGGGCGGCCGGACCGGGCCTTGATCAGGCCGGGGTGCACGTGGCTAAGGATGTCAGGTATTAGTTATTTTTGTTGATTCGTACGTACACAAACAAACAACAGGTGGGCCCTTATCCAGACTATTTAGCAGTCGGAAAATACGAACTTGTGTAAGCCATAAGTTTTAAATTCGTCGATTAAGATTCGGCATTGAGGAACATTTTGGAAACTTTACACCGCCTTTCCACAGTGCAACAGTGCAACATGTACCTTACGTTTTGTATCTCCCACCTCCACAGTGCAGTCCGGCGGGCCCCCACCTTGCCTCTGACTGTCGAAGACGCCCGACTGCTGGCTCACACCAACAGACAGCTGCATGCGGAGGTGCAGGCGCTGCGGGCGGAGCTGACGGGGGTGAAGCACAGACACGACCAACGCGCACGGCATGGTACGAAACCGTTACAAAAGTTTTAATAAAAAATAAAACAATGGAAAGCGCACTAACCACGCAGTTCTGGAAATCGCCATTAAGATTATAAGTGGCGCCTCTATTGCCTGCGATGTATGGTAATGTTTATTAAAGGTAACAGCAGAGTGGTTTGTGTTAACGTGAATCTGTCATCCGTCCTTCCCTTAGCGACGCAGACCATGGGCGACTTACAACAGGAGCTGAGGCGGACCCAGGCCGAGCTGGAGAAGTACAAGTGTAAGCACGACTCTGAGTTCATCAGGTCCGGCTTACCGGGGAGGCCGTCTTCACAACCAACCGGCCCCGCCCGGCAACGGGGGAAGTCCCCGGCGCAGGACAGTCGCGTTTCTCAGGTAGGTTGATCGACCATCCGTTCTATATTTTCCCTCGTAGTCTATTACTGTTCTTATCCTCGTGTACGAAGGTTTTGTAACGTTAACGTACTAGGTTAACGTCTAGTACGTTAACCTATCTAGATTCTGTTTAATAGTCTGCCACGTTGCCCTGGTAACGTGTCTGTGCTCTGTTACCCAGGTTACGTACTTGCGGGTTCCTGATGAGTGTTTTCCCGCTCCTGCATCCAAGAAGCCAATGTCTGCGCTAAACATTGATGACGTCATGAGGACCAATCAGGTAGGACATCCTGTAGACAAGCTTGATTTGTAAAAAGTCCATCCACCTTTCTACTGCAGTGTTAACTTCCATCTCGCCCCTACAATCCGTGCTCTTCCTCCATGGCATTGCCTTTGCCATTGACTCTCCTACAATTTTAGAGAGAATGTAACGTTTGTTCTCCCTCCCGTCCTGTAGAGGGTTCTGGACGAGAACGAAGTTCTCCGTGACGAGGTTCAGCGGCTGCGGCGGGACAACAGCAGCCTCCTGCGGCTGGTCAAGTGGCTGGCAGCCGACAACCGGATCTGCCTGGTCAGTCTGGGTCAGAGTCAGTCTGGGTCGGGTCATAGTCTGAGTAAGGGTTTCGATCAGCCCTTCCCTTTTACATTTGGAAGCGTCCAGAAATTTGAGACATGAAATCATATCTAGTATTTTTCTCTTCACAGAATCACATCCACACCAGCGTCACCGACAGACGGGACCTCACCAAAAAACTTCACAAGGAGAAAACTGAAGTGAGTTCTCATCGGTCACACGTTACCTGTGTTACGTTACCACCTCAGTCATATCAACTTGCACATGTCATGTTGTTCACTTAACTTAAGCGTCCACCAGCTAACATCCAGGCTTCATTTCTGTATTCAGACCAAAAAGCTCCAGGGCATGCTTCAGCAGAGAGCGCATGCGTGGGTGAGAGACAAGCAGAGAGAAGAAGGACTGGAGGAAGAGAACAAGTGGAACAAAGTGAGTTCTTAATTTTGTCGTTTTGGAGATTTGCTCGGGATTGGTTGTAGTGCACCTTACTGACATTTTCTCTCAAAATCAAACGCATCAGATTCTATATTTAATTTGAATGATTTGCAAATACTAGTATGCCACGCGTGCTTGTTTGTTTGTTTGTTTGTTTGGAAGATCTTCCATGACGTTTCCTTGTGTTTTCAGATCAGCCATATTTCCGTGCTGGGGGCGAAAAAACGGGCGGACGCGACCCGCGTGCAGAAGTTCTACACCCGGACGGTCCCCGTGTCATCCTGGGACGACCCTTTCTCCCGACCGGACTACCTGGGCACGAGAGTCTCCTATCCAGACTGCATGAGCACGAGATTACTACCGTGAACTACTGTACCCCTTTCTCAGTGTTGTAGAAAGCACTTGTAAGAAAGCCATGTAAAGTAACAACCCATACCGACCGCAGTCTCTGTCCACATGATGTATTTGTTGCAATAAAGTTGTGTTTAGTTGATCATGAGGCTGGATGTCATTTCCTCCACAGTGTATAACGTGTAATCTGGGTGTGTAGTTTTGCCCACGTCAAAGTTTGTTTGAAAACAACGTGTCCAAATTGGGTAGTTTTGCCCGCGATCTGTTTGGGATAGAAAAGGGGATGCATGGCATGTAACTTGTAAAGGTGTTATCAATACACCTGTTTTGTCCTACCTTTCACATAACAAGTAACGTTATCATAAATTCTAGTCTTGATCAATGATAAAAGGACAAAGCGGCTTATCTAGAACGGGTCAAGAAAATGAACTCTGTGGACTGGTGGCCAAACTCCCCTGGCAAATTGACTACTAGTATTTCTCCATATTGTAAATTTTACTATTTTTCAACCTGCGTTTCAATCTGGTGGAAACTAGCTGTAATGTGTGCACCGTAAACGAAAAACACATTCCGTACCGAAAAAATGAAAATCTACGTGGTCATGAAGGATGAACAAATGACACAGATCTTTAGACTATGGTATGGCGAATACTGAATTTCTACACTTCATGATCAGATTCATTTCTTTACATATTAACATATTCGTCTTTTTCGTTTGATTTTGGCATTCTACGACATTGGCATCGTTTTCAATATTTTTTTTGGAACCTACAGTATATATTTGCTCATTTTGCAACTGTTTTGTACGATTTTCAGTATCACTGAGTATGGTTGAAAACTTTTTTTTCTTTTTTTTTCGAAACGGCCGAAAATTCATGCGCACATGGATGTCATCCACATAATCAAATCAACACTTAATTGAAAAAAAAAATTCGCGTGGCACCGTGCTACCCTTTGTGGCTGATGGGCTCTTTTTAGGGCACAACCGAGCACTCGTATTTTCATCCTCCCGACTTCAATCCTCGCCCGGGTCCCGCACGGGCTACCTAAGCCCCGCCTCCTACGGTTTCCCCACCTGTGATGAAACGCCGGTAGGAGACAGCTCACGATACGAATCGTTCGGCGACGAACCGCCTGCTTAGTCCTGACCAAGAAGAAGCAGGGAAATTTGTAACATGTGTGCCAGCATGCAGCATGCAGCACGACGCTAGACATAAAGTCGACGATAGTTTAGGTTTGATGGAGCTGCGTTTGAATTGATAAGAATACTTAGCAGCTAGAGGCGGCCATGTCTTCATCTTATAACGACGGGACACCAGGATCGGCCACGGGCAATGGACAGGTTTGTTGTTATGGCGGTCCTTTTTCCTAGCTTGCTTTACCACAGACGACAGACCATTCACATGCACAGATGCAGCTACATATCATATGACTAGCTTTAAAACTAGAAAGCGAGGACCTCAACAACAACAAGTAGAGTGTGGGCAGACAGGCCGTCAGAATTCCGATTAAGTGGTCACGATTAAGACTGCACATGTCATTGTCCTGTCAAAAATTATGTGAATCCCAACCCCCCTCCCCCAAACGTAAACATAAAACGTTCAACTTACATGCTGTAGCACCATGTCTGATGTGTTCTGGGCATGCACAGTCTTATTCAGTAACCTCCTTACGTGGTAAAGATTAAAGAAATACGAACATAAACTTTGTAATTCAGAGCTCTCACATCTTTTTTTTTTTTTTGGTGTGTGCCCCATGCCCAGACTTGCAGCAGCAACATTTTCTTTTATGGTTGAGCTATAATTATAAATGTTAAGAACCTAGACACAAATGTACGATTGTAACCTTTATTTCCCCAGCAGCCCACTGGTCACCTGTCCAGACAGCAGAAGAAGTTCAGGCGGAGACATGTCGGTTCTGAGTCGACCCTGAGAGGATCACCTGTCCCCTCACCTTTACCTGCAGCTGCAACACCTGGCACAGGTGCAACACCTAGTGTGGTCATGGCACCCAGAGGTTTGTATTCCAGAATCCAGACATACTGTTTTAGACTCTTTAGTCTGGTAATGCTACTCATCACTGGTACCGTAAAACCACTGACTGTCCTATAGCAGACCCACATCTATGCCCCAGATACCCCTGGAACATATAATGATATGAATTAATGTGATATGAATTCCTTTGTACTATAACAGGTCTGACTGTGATGCAGTTTATGGAGGCCCGAGCTGTGGAGCTGAATAGTCTGCTACATTTGGCCCAGAAGTCCTACCGCAGCAAGCACACTGTGCAGTCCCTGCCCCGACACATGCGCAGGCGGGCTGTCAGCCACAACCCCAAACGGCTGCCACGCAGACTACGGGAAGCTGCCACCAAAAAGGTAAGTAATCATGGTTGACCCGTAACCCACGTATTTGCACCAGAAAGGTGTGTAGTCACAAGTAACCTTTAACTGACAGGAGACTGGTACCAAGGAGGTTTTTAGTTACAGAGGTATGTTTGGTTTTTAATTAATTGGCTTGGCAGTCAAAGATATGAAGCGTAGGCTGCCCAGGGATCAACAGTGCATTGCTGAGTTTGCTGTAATGAGTTGTTTGCTGTTTGTAGATGTTGCGGAGCATGCAGCCTGGCCAGCAGATGGAGAAGCCGCGCCGACCCAGGAAGTGGTACCGGCAGCGAGCGGCAAACCGGCAGGCGGAGTACGCCCGGCGTCAGAATCATGTCACCTGGCTGGAGACACACGTCTGGCATGCCAAGCGCTTCCACATGGTCAACAGGTGTGTTACCTGTAGTCTGCAGGTGTGTAGTGTACATAGTTCACCTGTAGTCTGCAGATGTGTAGTGTACATAGTTCACCTGTAGTCTGCAGGTGTGTAGTGTACATAGTTCACCTGTAGTCTGCAGGTGTGTAGTGTACATAGTTCACCTGTAGTCTGCAGGTGTGTAGTGTACATAGTTCACCTGTAGTCTGCAGGTGTGTAGTGTACATAGTTCACCTGTAGTCTGCAGGTGTGTGGTGTACATAGCTACAAAGTTTCCTAAACATGAATGTCCAGTTAGTAATTTTATTGGTTGATTGATTGATGGAATGATGTGAAATGACGATTTTGTGTCTGCTCAAGTCAATGGTATCACACCTGTGTTCCAGGTGGGGATATCGGCTTCCAGACTACCCATGTGACAAAAGTCAACGGGCAGCCTACAGGGCCATGTGCCACCACTGTCTTATACAGGTGTGTATACATGTATCACCAGGCATATACAGGAATGTATACTGGGTGGAATTCACATAAGCTGTAATGTAGGGGATTGAGTCATTACAGCTGTGACGTGTTTTGCAGGAGGTATCCATTGTTACATTCTTGTGTTTCTCAGGACATCTCGTATTATGGCTGTATCGAGCTGACTGGTTCTAAGGACAACATCCTGAGTTTGCTAGCACACTTCACTCACCTGGACAAAGGTAATGTCTTAGACTTCATTTTTAACCATACCATAAGTAACTCTTCAGACATCATTTACAGCTATATGATACAGCTACTCTTGTCAGCTAAATCTTGAAATGTGTTTCATGTCTTCAGGTGGCTCTATCTCTATGTTCTACTCAGAAGGAAAGGTGGAAGGAACAGCAATACTGTACCGCCGGGACAGCTATCCTAACCACACCCTGGGACCGGTTACTTACATGTTCAGGCCTCAAACTGGTGAGTACAGGAACCTGTTCAGATTTGGTGCCAAATGGCTACCTTAGTGGCCTGAAGGTAAAGAAACACTCTAAGAGTAACAGTTCAGAAATGAATGTAGGTTTGCTACCTATAGAGACATGTGTATCTATAATCTTACATGGGAAATTTCAGCCTCCTATAAGAACCATAATTGAGTCAGGGAAATCGTCATTATACATTGCCAATGTCTGTTTGCAGAAAACAGTAAGGATACTTTTGCAACATCTTCCTGCCAGCTGTGGCTGTGGACCCACCCTGCCTGCACCCAGGACATCCTGCAGGAGCTACAGCAGGGGGTAAGGACATGTTGGACAGGGGGTAGGGCGAGGGATAGGTTACGTAGCATGCTAGCTGTGGCTGTGGACCCACCAAGCTTCCATCCAAGACATTTACATGCATGGAGCCTTTTAATGTATCTGGAAGTCATTAGTTGTAAAATCCAGACAAGGACATAAGTTGGTTTGTTAGCAAAGCTGACTGCATTTCCCTCCCATGTGAATGTCTCACACCAGTGTTTGTGCTCTATACAGATGTCTGACACCAGTGTTCGTGTCCAGTCTATTGGCGATGAGCTGGTGAGGTTTCAGTTAACCGGGCAGCTTGCTGCAGCTACGCTGGAGAGTGCCCTGAATCTCCCACCCTTACAGAATGGTAAACTATAATGTTTCTTATGTTACTTACTGCTAAACCATTGCTACACCCTTGTGCTAAATCTGCAGGTGTGTTTGTTGCCATGGCAATGGCCATTTGAAATGGTAAAATCAATGCTTTTGGAGATAGCAAAAATGTCCTGTTAATTTTTGCATGTTTTGTATATTTTGTGTGTTAAGCTTTATATTAAGTTTTGTAAGTTAAGTGTGTTTATTTGCAGAGACAGTACGGCCAGGACAAGTGCTGTCCCTGACAGTGGTGGATCCTCGTCTCAACATGCCCAGCAAGAGAACCAAAGTCACTCCACTCACACAGGAAGGTCAGTTCACTCTCTAGAAAACACAAAAAAATCACTCCATGTGCAAAGAACTGTATGTGTGTTGGTTCTGTCATGTTGTAAATGGTTGTAACCATGACTTTCCAGAAGTTTTTAAGTGAGCTGTTTACTGAGTGTAGCTTTCCCTTGGTCAATACTACATGACTAGTACACGTGTATGTTTCTGAGTCTGGTAGGATTGTGTTTTTTCTAGCTGACCCTATAGAGCTTTGGAATGCCATGTGTGATTATATTTACTCCAGCTGACCCAGCAGAGTTGAAGTGTGACACAGGACTGTGGGATGCAGAGAGGAGAAAAACGTTACAAACACCATCAGGACAGGACAGCAGGAGGTAACAACATCAGCTCCTCTGGGATAAACTCTTTTTAATCGAAAGCAAAATGTTGTTAAGGTAGGAATGTTTTCTACATTAAGCTTTTACTTAGTTTAGATAGCAGTGTTATGCATTAGTGTCATGAAATGGTATATTGAGCACAGAAATTTCTTTTTTTTTTGTCCCGTAAAGGCACTGTCTTTCTGTCATGGAAGGTGCACACACTGAAACTTTTCTGCCAATGCCACAGCTTTTCATGAAAAATTACAAGGGAATTTTATAGAGCACAATTTGAATGCCCCAGTCCATTTTGCTGACCAAACCTGTCCATTTTGTTGACCAAACCTGTCCATTTTGCTGACCAAACCTGTCCATTTTGTTGACCAGACCTGTCCATTTTGCTGACCAGACCTGTCCATTTTGCTGACCAGACCTGTCCATTTTGCTGACCAAACCTGTCCATTTTGCTTGTCAAACGTGTTGCTGACCAAATCTGTCCATTTTGCTGACCTGACCTGTCCATTTCTAGTATTGAGAAGAGAGATGTTGCTGGAGATGATGGACCTGTTACCGGGGACAACAGATGTGTTCCCATTCTACTGGTGCATCAGCAGGGGCGCACGGCTGCCTCTGCCTTAGGGACTGGCTGGGACGTGATTGTGCCTGCAGGCTGGGCCATGGCCTTCTGGCTGGGCTTCCTGTACAGGGGGGCCCGGGCAGGGGGGCTGAGGTACATATTGATAGGGGTCTTAGAATTATGGGGCTATGTATTCATAGGGTGGGGGTGGGGTCTTAGTTGTAGGGGAACTGTGTACGAGGGTTTTCGATTTTAATCAAGCTTTGTTTGGATTTTACATTTTTAGGGGAGCTACATGCATAGGATGGTCTTAGATGTTAGGCCAGTTGTGTAGGAGTGTTCAAAATTTCTGTGTGTGTTTGTGGGGGTGGGGTGGGGGGTGTCTTTGTGGGATCTTGAAAGCCTTGTTGGGGGATCAGTTCCAACATTTCCACCCTCCATGCCTCCCACCAGCTGATGAAAGTTGTTGTTTCTCCATTTTCCAGAGAAATGAGGCGACTGCACCTGGAAACTGGCCAGCTGTTTTTTCCCGACGACTTTCCAGATACAGAGGCATACCGGACATTCCACCAGGAACAGGCAGCTCAGCTAAGGGAACAACATGACAGGTTAGACATAGCTCTGGTAGTCTCTCTCTTTCTCTCTTTCTTTCTCTCTCTTTCTCTCTCTCTCTCTCTCTCTCTCTCTCTCTCTCTCTCTCTCTCACTCTCTCCTCCTTTCATTTTTTTTGCTCTCCCTCCTCCCCACTCTCTGCTTTACACTAGGCAATAACTACACATAAAATATGACCAATCATGACAAAGCTAAATAACAAATGTGCAGTTAAGATCTGTGGGACTGTTTAGTTAAAAATCTCTGGGAATGTAGTACAAACAATAGGCAAGGGAAAGTACTGATGTCAATCTGTATCGGTATAGCCGGTATAACCACCCTTTGGTGTAACACACCAGCTTTGCAGGCATGCAGAATTGCAGCAGCTAGCTATATTACACCAAACGACTTGTTTCACTCAATCTTTGCACATTTAATTGTAGGAGTTATTTAAAGCTTGTTCAATGACTTATTCCAGAGACTAGATTACAATGGAACTTGTGTGTGTGCAGAATGAATGTACAAGTATGGATAGTCTGACAGGTGCAACATTAGATACACATGAATGATCATCAACAACGCTACCCGCATCCAATCAATACTGCCCCTCTGACCTTCCCTGATCCCAATTTCCCACCCCATTGCCTCAGACAAGCCAACATTTTCCCTCCTGGCTTTAAGAGTGAGATGAATGGAACAGGCAAAATACATTAGCCTGGGTACCATCCGGATTTTCGCTACGCAACGCTTGAAAAAAATCACAATTTTTCGAGCGTTGCGTAGCAAAAATCCGGATGGTACCCAGGCTAAAAATACATAGCAACATCTGCAAAATATCTAAACACCTAGTACAGCTCAAGGTTTGCTTGTTATTTCAGTGCAGGCTGCTCATAACAAATGTTTTGTAGACATATATTATTTTTCTACCACCCACATGTGCATGATAAGGGTTAAAACACAAGCTACACAGTCTGTTCTTTACATGGTTACAGCACCAGCAATGATGGCTTCTTAGGGCAATCCCCCCCTGTCCTACTAAAAAAAAGGCTGATATCATCTGGAAGTGATTGAAAGTGTCAGTTTGTGTAGAGGGGCTGTTTAAGGGTATTCGTTCAATAGTCCCTAAATGAAATGCATGTTTTTTGATCATCGACAAACTATGTTGGATCCCCTGAGGATACCCTTAAGTGATGAGGTCAAAAGTCAATAAGTAGCTCGTAACCAGTCCATACATCAACAGTATGGCAGCAGGTGGACAGTTATGGTGATAGGAATGTGCAGTAAAATGCATGGTCAACACAGGCATTATGGTGTCATGTATGTATATTAAAATACAGCACATAAAGGCACTCTGCTAAACAACACCAGCACTAATTTGAATCCTACCAACGGCACATCCCAACAGGCTTTTTATTGATGTAAGATGCAGTGCGGCTAATGCAACAGCAAAATGAACCAGGAATTGGAATATAAATTTTACAAAATGTACAGCCTATGCTTAACACAAAGATCTTGCCCTGATCTTACTCCATTATAGGTACCCACCAGGGAAAAGGCCCAACTTTGTCAAACTGGGAACTGCTGCCCCTTTCCACTGCCCCTGGGACCGGCTGATGGAAGGGTGGACACAGGTTGCAGGGACCTCCTCCCCAGGGCAGCCCCAGGGTCTCTGCGTTGTCAGGGACAGCAGGATTCGCCAGCAGCTGTCCCAGCTTTGTAGTCATGGCAACCATCCTGACCTGCATCTCATCACCCCGCTGCTGGCCCCTGTTCTCACCAACCTGGTGGCAGTACAGCTGAGAATGGTGTCCCGGGGAACACCAGTTGCCATGGCAATGATCTGTGCCCCCACAGAGGAGGATGTATCAGGGTGTGTGTCGTGTGACCCCGTGGAACCGACACACACGGAGGGGACGATAAGCCATGACTGTGACGTTGTCAGACATTGTTCCAGGTTAACGATGGGGTATGTTACAGCAGGAGCCAACAGTCTGTCAGTAGGGCAGGGTGTGGGGACCGGCCTGTGTGTGGTGCAGGGTCTGCTGGCTGCTCTACAGGTGCAGCAACACCGGCAGCCTCCTGTGGTGCTGGTGCGCAATCCTAACTCTGCACAGTACCGATTTGCACACATAACTGTCCTGTAAATGTAATACAGTAAGGCTCAATGGAATAAAGGAGAAAATTCATTGTGTAGTGATGGGATCCTTTATACTGTTGTGTGTGTGTGCAAGTCAGCTGATAACAACCCAAACCCTCTTACTTTTACATTACTGCTGCACAGTGGGTCTGTATAATAACCACCCAGTGTTATATTACTGCTGCACAGCGAGTCTGTATAATAACCACCCAGTGTTATATTACTGCTGCACAGCGAGTCTGTATAATAACCACCCAGTGTTATATTACTGCTGCACAGCGAGTCTGTATAATAACCACCCAGTGTTATATTACTGCTGCACAGTGAGTCTGTATAATAACCACCCAGTGTTATATTACTGCTGCACAGCGAGTCAGTATAATAACCACCCCTGCAGACAGCATATGGTGACTGGGAAGCTCAGGTGAAAATTTATTGCACAGCAATCCATCCGGTGACACCATTAAATGAGGCAGATCATAACTACATCATTTGCGGAATAACAATTGTGCACAATAGAATTTTCCGTCCTCGGTTACATTGATTACAGTCTACTCCCTCAGGGGGAGTACCAGGGATGAGTAATAGCGCCAGTACCGGTAGTATCAATTGCGTTCGACTGGGAACAGTTTAGGGCAGCAGAGCTTATGCAAGATGGGAGATAACAGTACGGACTACACCATCACTAACAGCAAACCTTTGGATCTGTGTATTACAGTTATTTGTTTTAACAAATATTATTTGTAGGGAACATTACAGTTGATACCCAGGAAAGCACCAGATATATACATGTATATATTTTTTTGAGAAATACTTCTATATATTAATACACTTATATATTGGTAACCGGGTACAATACCCTGAGTCATTTACAATACCGTAGATCTGACATCGGCTGTATCATGTCAGTAACTATAATTTTGTGCATGTAGTGCTCCGTTTATATTAAGAGTGTTTTCAGCACCTGCACGGTGTACAGTCTTCGTGTTTACATCAGAACGTTCTTCCCGCATATATCTGGCCCATTCTTACTCTTGTCACGTCCAGCCGGCTGCAGCATTCTCCGCACGTCCGTGATGGATGAGGCGAACAGGACGCTCCGTACAGCGGAACCCATCATACAGTGTAATGAGGGACGCTGTCTCCTGGCGTGACACTAAATCATCAGGACAGGTCAGCGGAACGCACAAGGAATAAAGATGAAGCTGCCGTAGTTGAATAGTATACTAGTATCAGAGAATCACACCCATCTGTGGCGCTTGTTTTAATGGAAGTTTGTCACACGATACTGCCATTCATAATTTGCTTCTATTAAGTTATGTTGAAATAATCGGAAGGTATCACTACATCCACAGTCATTACGGCACATATTGATCACACTAGTCTGACGACTGCTGTTCCCCAGTAGCTAATCCTACAGGCTAAACAGAGCGGCTCCCTGGAGCTCTTATTGATTTTTCCAATCTTTTACACATTTACAGAGATTGATCTCGGAGCCAAAGTGTCGACATGTACTCGTTCCGGAAGCTGCAAACGGCCGATTACACAGTTAGGGTCGTAGTGCATACTACACATAATTCATGTGGCGCTATTACAGGGTCCTACTTCTACTACACATAATCCATGTAACGTCGTTACAGGGTCCTACTACATACACTTCATGTAACATTGTTACAGGGTCCTACTACACATACTTCATCTAACATTGTTACAAGGTCTTACTGCGTTACACCGCTGCAGGGTCCTACTTCGGGTCTTGTTACGGGATGTTGTCAATTGTAGGGTTAATTAGGCTCTAAATTGCACAATGTATTTGTATGTGTTGATAGGACCTTATAGCGGTGTAATCGATCTTTTGCAACTTCCGGATCTGTCAGACAAGAGTTAATCATCTGCGTTTCTTGTACAGTCATAGACATTTACTATGCTTTGCAGGTAAGATATGAAGGTATATCTTGTACAGGATACAAAATTTACATATGGACTTTAATTATAATCTACTTTCAGTATAATGTGAGGTAATTTACACCGGAGATGAGATACGTGTATTTGATTAATGCTATGTCGAACTATGTACACTAGAGCTGAACACTGCATGGAGGTATGCTAAGCTACAGATACAGTCATGAACACTAGAGCTCAGCTAAACTACAGTTACAGTCACGAACACTATAGCTATTGATAAGATAAACTACTAGTACACTTGGAACACTATTTAGAGCTAAGCTGAACTACAAATACAGCCAGGAACACCAGAGCTATGCTGAGCTATAGATTCAGTCATGAATTTCTATCATGAAGTTAGGTGCCAGTGGTATGCCAGCGGTCGCTGTGTTTTACTGTGCCCTTTTGGTGGCTAGATCCTGTACCCAGTGGTCGATGCGTTTTACTGTGCCTGTTTGGCGGCGAGATCCTGTACCCATTCCATGGTCGATGTGTTTCCTGTGTCCTTTTGACCGGCGAGGTTCGGTGCCAGTGGTCGATGTGTTTTGTTTACTGTGTCTTTTAGTCGGCGAGATTCGATGCCCAGTGGTCGATGTACTTTTACTGTGCTTTTTTGACAGCGAGGTCCGGAGCCCAGTTGTCCATGTACCCCATGTGACAGTTGTTTTCCGTGACTTGACTTTCCGTGGTGGTCTCCAGACAGTGCATGAGGTGGTCCCGCTGCAGCAGGAACTCTCGTTCCTCGTAGGTGGGTCTCGTGCCCCGGACCAGGTGCCGTCCCTTGTCCCCGCCCTTCTTGGACTGGATGACGTTGGTGAAGTTGGAGACGATGACGGTGAGCGGCAGGGTGAGCAGGATGACGCTCGTGATGGAGCAGAACGCCGTCACCAGCTTCCCGGGGATCGTGCGCGGAGTCATGTCCCCGTACCCCAGCGTCGTCATGGTAACGATGATGTACCAGAAGCCTTCCGGGATGCTGGAGAAGTAGGAGTTGGGGTGGTTCCGCTCGGCGTAGAACACCATGGTGGCGAAGATGATGACGGCCATGCTCAGGGCGAATAGAAGAAAGCCCAGGTCCCGGGCACAGCCCTTCAGGGTGTCGCCCAGCAACCTCAGTCCTGGGGAGGAGCGGGACAGTTTGAAGATGCGGAAGACGCGGAAGACTCGCAGCGTGACGAACAGCCCATTCACGCTGTTGTTGGCCGGAATGCACAGTCCGACGTAGAAGGGCAGGATGGAGACGATGTCGATGACGCTCATCGCGCTTTTCACGAACATGCCTCTCTCTGGCGCCGCGAACAGGCGGATCAGGTACTCCGCCGTGAAGATGACAACACAAGCCGTCTCCAGACAGGAGAATGACAGCGCGTAACGAATGCCGCACGGGATCTGTTCCTTCATCTTGGGCGGAAAAGGCGCGCAGTTCAGCGTCTCCACGACGTTGGCGAAGACGGAGACGGCGATGAAGAAGCCGGTGACGTAGAAGAACACGAGTCCCAGCGTGGTCTCGTCAGGGTTCTCCACGATACGCCAGATTTTCTCCCGGAATGTCACGGGTTCCGGCGGCACCTGTGCTTCTTTGGCGGCCGCGCTGACAGACGCTTCATGGGCCTCCTTCTTGTCGATATATGCCTCCCTACAGCATGGCCCGATAGCATCCGCATCGTTCGGAATCCCGAAAAAGTGCAGCTCTTCGTCATACGCGGACACACTCTCGCTCTCGGGGTAATGCAGTCTCCCGGTGCGGTAGAAACTGAGGATGTACCGGAAGAGGTCGGGATCCCTATCGAAAAAGTACTCTCTTTTGCCATCATCGAAGAAATAGTCTTTTTCGTCACTGCCGAGCAGAGTGTCTGGGTACCTCTCCAGTAGGTGCCGCCATATCTCAAACCGGGTTCCTCCCACGTTCAGGGCGAGACGTTCTGTTCCTGCCCGCCGCTTTTTCAGCGGGAGGGGTGGAACATAAACTGGCTGGCAGGCCGCGGTGTAGAGTACAACACTTCCCGCACACCTGGCCATGCCGGAACACCTGTCCATCTTTAAACCGTCTTACAGGGTACCACAGTACCAGCACACCTGTTCACCCCTACCTGCCGGCTTGTCCATGTTCACACCTCACCATGTTCACACGTCTTTTACACACCTTTCACGTGAATCCCTCCATCATCACAGGTACAGCGGTGGTCAAACGATGCACAGGTCCGCCCCCACAGGATCCCCACAAGTCCGTTACACAAATCCGTTGCACAATCCGTCACGATATGATTTCGTTCTACTGTGTGCTCTCTATGAACAATGATCAGTGGACTATGAAGGCTGGATCAGTAGAAGACGCTTCCAGCGACTACTATCACTGCAATGGGAGCATGTTGCATTATCTTGCAACAAAGAGAGCATGCGCACTTGTTAACTCGACCCGACAGGTCCTTTCAATCTTATTATATCTTCGGTGTACGGCGCTTTGATCTTCACCTCTGCCTTCCCGTACTCCCTAAGTCTCGCGATTCCTGGCTTACCGTACTGACTGCGGGGCTAGCGTCAGGTGATGAACCTCAGGACCAGCGCTTCGGTTCCGCCCGCACGGCTAGAGAGACTCGGTGCCGAACGCTCCCCAGGTACAAGATGTAGGTCCGGCCCTACATACGTAATGATTCCATTGAAACTGTGGCAGGAATGACGTTAGCAATGATGAACGAGGCTGTCAGATCAATGGCTGCGGTCGGGAGCCGGGCTCTAACTTGTACATATCCGCACGGCTCTGCGGCAGGACTGATAATAGCCGACATGCATTATTAATGACCATAACGCCGTGCGCGCACAGGTAACCACTGCGTCCGAACATAAACCACCAGTGCGGCGGGCAACGCACCAATGACTGATCGATAAAGGACACGGTCCAAAAATGGATAATAAGTACAGGAAACAACTAATGGGTAATCGATATCAGAAATAGCCCCGAAATTTATGATAAAGTCAGTTTCCAATGGTTGATCGATTCAGGAAACTCGGATAATACCTCAGCCTCCGATAAATGATCAATGAAGGAAACAGACCCCAAATTGATCAATGCAGGAAATTATTAGCTTTATCTTCTTTTTGCTCATTGTAGAAATTCAGCCCCACTGGCTAATCAATACAAGAAACCGAACCTACAATTACTGATCGATACAGGAAATTGAGCCTTCAATGACTGGTCGATACAGGGACCCGACTTTCTATTGTCCGATCCATACAAAACTGAGTCTGCGATGGGGAAGCGATGGCAAGGCTCCACATGGAAACAGATGTGAAATATATCTTTATTGACCTTTATCCTACCACAGACATTTCCCTAGGGCATGCTGTTGATCACCTCTCACAGTGCCTGTGGCACATCAACCAGCACCTCGCTGTAATAAACGGTCCGGACTACACACTGGGCCTGTAGCTTCTTACCACAACCACACGACATCATTCTGCCGCAACAAGCCTCACCGGACCAACTGTGCGTTAATACTAAAGCCTCAGGAGACATTAATGCATTACTGATAAGGCTGCGGTGTTATCTCGATGCGGTGCATTCGGCTTGACGGTACCCCCGTCAGCAGCTCAGTCTAACATGCGTCAGTTGTTAAAACAGGCTCACCTTGAATTAAATCCGGGGTTACGGTTTGTAGTGGGATGAGATATCCTCGGCCTCCCAACGTATTTCTATCTATTAGTAATAATACTTTCCTTGCCTTGCCTTGTCTCGCCATTTGATTTTATCGGAAAGATTCTATTGGCAAGTGATCGTAAATTTTAGAAAGCAAAATTTAACGCCCATCGAAAGCGGCAGCATACTTACATACATGGCCAGTAGTTTGCGTTTCCGAAGAACCATCGAATACCCAAGCGTCCCGGCCACCATTTGTTTTCCTATGCGCTCTAAATTCATTCATAAGTTGTACTGTTGTTTGTCCCGCAACACTGACACTGCTGGTTGTTGGCATGGTCGTCTTAAAAACACACTAACGTCTATATATGATATGGATATATAGCTATTAACACAAACTAACAAACAGTATATGATCTACGCTACATGTATCTTCATCGCGCCTTGACCTGAGTATTATTGAAACACACGTTCTCTTATGCGCTCAGGGAGCAACTTTATACGAGACATGATCAATATATACTGCATCAGTATGGAATAGTGAAAGCCAAGTAGAGAGTCTTGCGCTTTTGCTAGAAAGCCGGTCGACCTTCAGTCGGTCAACCGGCCGTCAATTTTGCACCATAGGAGAAGCGTCAGCGATAACTAACGTAAAGGGGCATCATGTACTCGTAACATTTTGCGCCAAAATTTGAAAAAAAAATCTTAATGTGATTGCCATTTACTTCCACTTTCCAAATATTTGCGCTATCATTTCACATTTCTGCCATTTATGGTTGGCAATAAAACAGCCCACATGAGGCTCACTCATTTTGTGGCACCACCACAAAATACCTAGCCTGAGTGTCAGCCTTGTTAGCTTTCGTCCGCTACCCAAGGTCCGCTCCCCGCCTTGGGTAGCGGACGAAAGCTAACAAGGCTGACACTCAGGCTACAAAATACCAGAATGTGAAACATGACTGACAGTTTGTTTAAACACACTCGTGTGGTATGATATTTTGGCACCTTCACTTCCTGAATGTCATTTATTTGCAATAGAGTATGGTTGATTCAACTTATTGTGTAAAGAAATCACCGGAAACTTGATGTGTCGTCCTAATCATAAACTTCAGATTTAATGCTACAACCCAATGTAACTTTAGGTAACATTACTTTCTTAGGATCTCTTAGGTCCTTTCTGAGACATTGGTTACTTCAGCGTCAGTGGGAATCCCCATGCAGGTCCTTTCTCTGAGAAGCTGAAGCTGAAGCGTATGCGGTTGGTAAACCTGGGACCGAAGCAGACGACACGGCGAATAGACAATGACCGAATCTGCCGCTCATGTTACTGCAAACGATTCGGCGATTAGGCTAATGTCGAATCTGGCACTAGTGTTACTGCCGATGACACGGCGAATAGATCGGCGGCGAATCTGGTACTGGCTTTACTGCAGACTGTGGACCAAGATGGCGGGAAGTCCTTTAGCTTACGAGTTGACGAAGTTTTGTAAATACTCCAGACAACTCAGACACACTCTGAAGGACACGAAAAGCGCTTTTGACGACGTTGAGAAGTGCGGTGGTTTCTGGGACGGCGGTGAGTGGTTACAGACGACCTTGCCACACACGGCTTGGCATGACGCAAGATGAGAAGTTGTGATAAACATCAACTAGTTAACGTTACTAGTTAAATATTTTTAAGGTTCTAACTTCTGCAGTTCAGCTCTGAAAATGCGATATCATACAGTGTCCAGGTTACTTACCGCAGGTTATCCTCAAGGTGTAGTTTTCTCTGTTGGGCATAATTTTGTTACCTTTCTCGGGAGGGGGAGGCAGGTCTATATGCCCTATATGTAGGTCCTGTCAAAACTGACCTTTCCCCTCCAGGAGGTATGTTGGGTGTTTCACCCGCACTTCCGGTTTTAGAAAATGTAACTTGCTTGGCATTAGTTTACAGAAGTCGTGGTTTCTGGTGTATTTGTAGCAACATTTGCAGGCACAGAGCATTGATCTGGGTCATATTCACAATAATAAATCATACAGCATATTATATAACATTATTATTTATTTGCTTACTCTATGTGCTGCAGACTTACAGCACTCCTGGCATGAAGAAGAAGACTTCATCCAGTCGGTGATCAACCGGCCACCATGTCTCATCATCCTCGGCCAATCATGTTATGCCAAAGCCTCTGTTGTTAACGAGCTGTTCGGAGAGGCTGTCTTGCCAACAATGCAGAGTCTGGAGGTCAGTGTCAGCTGGCGCATGCTCAGGTTCAAGTTTGGCAGCAGCAGGAACCTCCGACTGACTCTGCCTGATAGCTTTGAACTCGTAGACAATCTGGCTGCATATGAGCAGGACTGGACGACAGTTCCGCTAGAGGACCTGGAGCTGCATGGGGAACATCGAACAGACATTGCGCTGGCGTCTGCTGTGGTGGAGGTCGTGCTGAACCATTCCTTACTGAAGGAAGGAGCCCAGGTCGTCGTGTCTCCCTCCCATGTCATCGGTCTCAACACGAAACAGGTCTTCTCCAAATGCACTGAAGATGTCTTACCCGTAGTTCTGTATGCAGTGAACAGGGAACGGCTGTCAGAGCAGGATATACAGGAACTTGTGGACATTAGGGCCAATTTCCCTGAAACTCCCATATTCTTTATAAGGACTAGAGACTGTGAGAGAGAAGAAGTTACATCAGAACCCACCCTGCTTCAGCAGCTGTGTTGGAGTGGTTTCCAGGTCCAGCCATCAAACATGGCACAGGCACACAGGTATCCAGGGTCATCCACACAGTCACAACACAGTACGTCACCCAACATGACACAGTCACACTACAAGGTGTCTAAGAGCCTGCCCCAGTCTAGGTTAGTGGAGAACTTTGAACACTTCCCCAGTCTGCTGCTGTTTGTACGTCAGGTGTTACAGACCCATCTGGTGCGGGCTGCCTGTGTGTTGTACAGCGCTCACACACGCTGTCTGCAGATGTTCATCACCTCAGCCTTTGACATGGCCCGTGACATCATGATCACGCCACGCAGAATCGAGTACGCCAGGGCTCGGGAACGGGAACTGTATGACAGTCTGGTGTCCATTTCCGACAAGAAACAGGACGAAATAAAGAATCTTATCAGGGAGACAATAGCAAACATCCGTGAAGAACTGCTGGCTGATGCTGCAAGTTACTCTTTCATAGGTAATGTCATCTTACTTGTACAATACTTTCATAGGTGATGACTATTTATTCAGTTGATTTATTGACTAATTGACAGGCAGGAGGCATGATTGATTGACACTTCCTGTTTTCCTGTACAGGAGTGGAGCTGACAGACTCAGGACAACTGGTGGACTCCAAACAGCTGCGGACCTGCACATCCCAGATCCAGGACCTGGTGTTGAACAAGCTCAACACGGCTGTGGCAGGTAGGCAAAAACAAACCAGTTGTACTGTCACCCAAAACAACTCTGGCAAGTTGAACTGAATTGTATGGTATACAAATGTGTACTGTTACTTGCTGTATGTGAGGGTGTAGCAAAGGTACTGTGCTGTTCTACAGGGCAGCTGATGGATTGTGTGGAAAGAGAGAAAAATTGTGCTGTTGTGTATAGTAGGGGAGTTCATTGGTTCTGTTAAATGTAAGCGTGTTATTGTTGTGTATTGCAGGGCAGCTGATAGGTTCTGTGGACTGTCTGAGAGAGAGTTTTGTCGGCACCTTGGCCAGGTGTATCCAGAGTCTAGAGAAGGACCAGGGGGATGTTGAGGACTGTGTTGCAAGTGTTCATCTTAAGCAGGTACAAAGAAACAATTCAACAAGTAGTAACATATATACAAACAGTAAACGCACATGCATATAGTTACAGTTAGAAGTTGGAAATCCATGTCTTGTAGAGGGTCTTGATCCTAACTTAAGGTTCCCTTCCTCCACAGCTGCTGAACGCTGCCTACCAGGTGGAGGTCACCGTGCACAAAAGCGCCTCGCTACTCCGAGTCCTCTGGGAGAAGATGAAACAGGTGGGAACCTCTGAACTCTAACCTCTGACCTGCTGGGAATATTTCCTGCCTGGTGTTATGTGGTAACTTTTCCTTTCTTTCTGACATGTCATGACTGTTTGTTTCCCAGCTGGTGCAAGCTCTGCCATGGAACGCACCCAAGAAGGTGGATGCTGACTGGAAGAAGAAGGTTGCGTCAGACATGCTCGGCAGTCTGAGTGAATCTCGCCTGGCACGGAGCATGTGTGCTCAGTTCAAGGTCAGGGATAGAAGAATCTTATCATGTCAGTGATGCATGTGCCACTTACACAATTATCTATGTTTGGCCAGACCATTTCAGTAGTGCAAATATGGAAATTATGTAACTTGCTTCCAGGACCGCCTGTGTAACTCCCATGAAGCCTTCATGTCATCGCTGAAGCAGTTGGAAGTGCAGCACTGCGGCCGCCTCGAGAGGACTGAGGAGCAGCGCATGAAACTGCGTAAAGTTTACGCCCCAACTCTGGCACACCTCGCGCTGGAAAGCACATCTCTCCGGGACATCATACTGCATGGTAGGGCATTACCACACTACAGGGTAGAACATTAGGACACTGTAGAGTAGGACATTATCACACTGCAGGGTAGGTCATTAGCACACTGTAGAGTAGGGCATTACACTGCAGTGTAGGACATTAGCACACTGGCGGGTAGGACATATAGCACACTGTAAGGTGGTATAATATTGCACTACAGGTTTCCTGCCTTATTTTGCGTGTATTATTTTATGAATTGATTCCCATGCTGTAATGTATGTAGGTATGCAGGCAGTGGTGTGTATACGCAGGTACGCATTTGTTACAATTTGTTGTTCAGGCATGCCGCAGCTTGGCCGTGAGATCGGACGTGGACAGTACGGTGTGGTGTACGCATGTGACAGCTGGTCCGGCCACTCCTCCCCTGGCTGTAAAATCTGTCGTACCACCGGACGAGAAGCACTGGAACGACCTGGCACTGGAATTCCACTATACAAGGTGGGACTGTTAGAGTCACTGCTGATGACATGTTATGATCAGTGCCACTGCTGATGACATGTTTATAAAGTTCTGTGGCATTGCTGATGACATGTTTTTGTTTTGTCGATGAAATGATCTGTGCCATTGCTGATGACAATGTTTAGTTCTGTGTCACTGCTGATGACATGTTTAGTTCTGTGCCACTGCTGATGACAAGTTTAGTTCTGAGCCACTGCTGATGACATGTTTAGTTCTGTGCCACTGCTGATGACATGTTTAATTCTGTGCCACTGCTGATGACATGTTTAGTTTTGTGCCACTGCTGATGACATGTTTAGTTTTATGCCACTGCTGATGACATGTTTTATTGCTTAGGTCCATTCCTGAGCATGAGAGAATCGTGATGCTGCGAGGGTCTGTGATCGATCACAGTTACGGGGGTGGCTGCAGCCCGGCTGTGCTGCTGGTGATGGACCGGCTGCAGAGGGACCTCTACGCTGCTATCAAGGCCGGACTGGACACCATCAGCCGGCTGCAGGTGGCTCTGGACGTAGTGGAAGGAATCCGCTACCTTCACAGCCAGGGACTGGTGCACAGGGACATCAAACTCAAGAATGTGCTGGTGGGTTCCAGGAGGTCTGGTATATTTAGAGAGGGGAGGTCTCTAGTACAGTTGGGATACTTAATGGATAAGGCTGTAGGAATAAGATTGTTGGCACAAGACTGTTGAGTGTCATTGTTTTGTTTGTTTGTTTTCTGTTGGGCTAAGACTATTCAGATGTTACTGTTGGAATGAGACTGTCATCTTATAATCTGCAGCTGGATAAGAAGAATCGTGGGAAGATTACAGACCTGGGGTTCTGCAAGCCTGAAGCCATGATGAGCGGCAGTATTGTGGGAACCCCGATCCACATGGCACCGGAACTCTTTACCGGCAAGTACGACAGCAGTGTGGACGTGTACGCGTTTGGAATCCTGTTCTGGTACGTGTGCGCGGGAACTGTCCGGCTGCCGCACGTGTTTGAGCAGTGTGCCAGCAAGGACCATCTCTGGAACTCTGTCAGAAAAGGTACATATACATACATCTATGTGTGTGACTGAAACCAATGTTCATATGCTACAAGTGGCCATAGCTTTATACTTTACACCTTTCTGTTTGTTTTACTGTTACTGTGTTATCCAATGACTTTTAGGTCAAGGTAAGGGTTGGAGTGAGGGTCAATTTCAGTGTACATGTTGTTGTGGATTGCAGGCGCCCGTCCGGAAAGGCTGCCGCTGTTTGACGATGAGTGTTGGGCGCTGATGGCGGCCTGCTGGGCTAAAGAGCCAACCGCACGGCCGTTGCTAGGCAATGTCCAACCACAGCTGAGGAGAATCATGGACAGATTCATGAATCGTCATGAAGTCACCTCAGCAGGATCTTAAAGATGATGTGTTGCAGGATATGCACCTGTATAATGGTGGTGGAGGGTGTTCTATGATTGACTATTACTGTATCTTGCTGTTGTTGATTTTTTTTTCAATGATAGCAAATAATTACAGTAACTGATAATAGATTTAATATTCTGCACAGTAAATATGGGGGAATATTTATGTATGCATAATTCATTGCAAGATGAAGATTGATTCTGTGGTTTCTATTGCATGGGCTTCCAGGACAATGAAGGTGTTAAACATTATCATTACTGCAGGAAGGCCCTTAATGTCACTGCCAGCTGGCAGAATCAGGCTGAAATTTTCTGCAAAGCAAGTATAATCATTGTATAAAAATGTAGAATTCAGGGCCAGAAATACAGAAATTACTCCAGCTGCTTGTACCCTCCAAGTAAAAGATAGTATGTAAGATTCGACATATTTACTTTGTATATGTGGTAGGCAACCAATAAAATAATTTATCTAAAAGGTACCTTAGTCAATAGTCTTCGTTAGTGAGTTTGGGTGAAGACTATTACATATTAGACTCTCAAGAAATACAAAGAAAGCCAACCTTTTGGTGACCATCTGTCTCCTTCATCAAGGTGATACTGACTGGTTCTACTACACACAACTGAACAGGTAGGTGTCAGTCCCTAACATATTGTACATTGTGACATATGCATGTATGTACAATAATATTACACCAGTAAAAAATTATGTCTTAACCTTTAAGTTATGTCTTAACCTTTATCCCAATTTTCTGGCCTTATGAAAATATAATGTCTCAATACGTCAGTTACCAGAATCAGCTGCACATGTCAGTGGGGACCCCTAGAGATCCAAATTATTTTTGTCCCTGCTGGAAGTGGATTGTTTATTTGTTTATTATTATTTATTTGTTTATTTACCATTTGCACGTATATTAAAAACAATTACACAATCAAATAATAATAATCAAAGAATGTGCGGGGTAGGCCAGAAACCTGGGTGGTTTTTCTAGAGGCCTACCCCAAGCAAAGATAACTTATGACAAAACATATTTAAATTAAACATCAAAATTAAACAATGAAATAATTAAACAATGAGTAATTAAACAAAATCAAGACACAGAAATAATAACTGAGGTGTATAAACTAACTAAAACGAAATTAAACAAAAGTCTTATACCTGTAATTCAGGTAGATGTTACAGATTAAACTGATTAAATAATTAACATAAGAATTAACGATTAAAACAAAATATTCCAGACGATGGGGCCTCTATACGCTATTGAGAATTGTTTTTGTGTAGATTTAGTCTTGATCGGCCTTAAATGGTTATGTTGTCTCGTATTGTGCTGGTGAATGTCTGAGTTGAATGTAAAAAAAGTGTTGAATTGATCTGGTAAACTATTGGTATTATGAACGATTTTATGAACAAAAATGGCTATTTGTAATTTGTTTAAGTCATATACATTTATGATTTTTAGTTCACGAAACAGAGGTGCTGAGTGTGCTGTGAAGTGTGTGTTAGCTGCAATTCTAACAAAGTGTTTTTGTAGTTGATAGAGTGGTTTAATTGAAGTT